TAGTTGATCTTGGATCTTAAATTTCTGTGTATGGAATCTAAAACTTGAACAAATTATTTATTTGAAATATATTTTAGGATATGTTTGCACATTTCTCAAGCATTTCCTTAGGATCATTTAAAAATGTCTTCAGAATTACGAGGATTCCCCTAAAAAATCTTATGATTCTGTTCGGTGATCTCTAGAAACTTTCTTCATAAACGTTGTAATTCGCTGCAGAAAACTTCTCCTCGGAATTCCATGTACATTTTCCTCAGAATTTCCTTGAAATGTTTCTCCTCGGAATTCCATGTACATTTTCCTCAGAATTTCCTTGAAATGCTTCTCAAAATGCTGTTGAAGAGCATCTTTTGGAGTTCTCCTCAAACTCTCCTTAGAATTCCCTTGGGGATTTCATCAGAATCTCCAGGAACACTACTCAGCGTTTAATTGAAAAAAATGCCCAATACTTCCAGCCAAATCCTCCTAAACTTTTCGATATTTCTTCAACATTCTAATGTATTATTGTAGGTATTCTCTTAACACTATCCTCACACTTGCTAAAAATTCTGCAATGAATTTTTTTGCCATGTTAAGAATTAGATTCTCTAGGAATTATTATCCATATTTCGTTGCAGCTTTCCTCAGAATTTCTCTTTGATTAATCGATCGATCAACATTTAAGAGCTTTTCAGCAGCAGGTGATCGTTAGGTATAGTTTCAGGATTGTAGTCATCCCAATTTTCGGTTTTATCATGGTTTTGAAGAGGTTTCTATGGCTTATGGACTTGAAGACCTTTAGGGGAGAGGCACCTGTTAAGATCTCTAAAAAAGGGTATTTTTTGTTATTTTTTTTCGAACATCAGAATAAATGCAATTACTTCGGGTTTTCAGTGGGGTGAATTCGGTTAAATACAGATTAGGAAATGAAAGGCAGTGGAGCGGTATGGACATATGAAGTAGATCTGTATCGCGTGGTTACGAAAGGCGATATCGCAGCAGAAGCAGGAGCACAAGCAGGGATCGTGAACGTGTACATTTCGGTAGTAATCGATATGATCGTCGACATTATTATGAGGACCAGTTATTCGAATCATTATAGTTATAGAAATGAGAACCTTCACGTAAACTAATTTGTAATTTTGCAAAAAGAAAGGCCACGTGAAGCGTAATTGCTATAGATTAAATAATCGTAAATCGGTCAAATTCGTAGAAGAAGCGCCGGTAGAAATAGATAGCTATGATTTTAAAAGGTTACAGATAAAAGATTCGGAGGAAGATGATTGTCCATGTATGATGATAGCCAGCAGCCGGTTTAGCAAACCGTGTCTTGTAGAGGTACAAGTAGAAAGAATTTATCTGATTATGGAAATAGACTGTGGTGCAGCAGTCACGGTTATCAGCTTGGAGACCTACAGAAAGTATTTTAAACACATCGAAGCTACAATTTACAGCAGCCGCTTAGTTGTCGTTAATGGACAACAGCTGACAATCCTTGGTGAGATTTTCGTCAATGTTTTTGCGAACAATGTTCAGCTTCAAGTAATTTTGATAATACTTGATTGCTCGATGAGTATTGTTCCGTTGTTCGGCAGAAATTGGCTGGATAGTTTTTATCCTAGTTGGAGGAGTACATTTGGAAATGTGATTAGTATCAACACATTGAGCAAAAAAAACTGAACGAAATTTGGATCAACAGCATGCATTGGAGTTTGAAGCTGATCTTGTGCTTAGAGAGGAAAGATCAATATTTCGTAAAGCATATGATGTGCCATTCAAATTACGGGAAAAAGCTATTGAATATCTGGATTCTTTAGAGAAGCAAAATGTGATTTCACCAATTCAGGCACAATTGTAACGCTCGTCGGAATCAGCTAAGGATTGTCGGCAACCGGCCGAGTAGTACGACGTTTCAAGTGCCAATACAGCGGAAGAAACGGCTTAGAGAACTCGATGATTCCGACGAGGAGTTTCTCGGATTTCCGGATGTACCAATAAATACCGATTCTGGAAGCAGAGGATTAAAACAAGCGAGACGTAGCCCCATTGCAACGCGAAGCTTTACACGGTCGAAGAAAAATGCTGAATCAACTATGGAAGAACAGTGGCAAGACCAGTAGCATTGTGTACAGTAGTGAATTATCAATGAGTCCTGGGATTTGCTACAACAAAATCAAGAAGAAAAATATCAGGTTCAAAACTTTAAGAAAATGTATGGAAATTATTGAGAATATGTTTACTGCCGGTAATCGCAAGTCAGTCCCATCTGCATTTTAATCAATTTTGAGTTAGCATCATTATTCAGTTTATCTTTCTATGTTTTTTGAGATGTGCTATTGAAAAAAGGTGGTTTGTTTAAGAAAAATGAAAAACAATACCAAGTCAAACTGTCCCACACCGAAAAGTAACCGCAAGTCAGTCCCATTAGAAAAAAATATGTTAGGAATGTTAGACAACACATCGCATCATGAGATTTGTCTCAAGACAGATTTTGTCCACTTCCCCTAGGGTATCTGGAACATGTCCTGATGTGGCCAATATAGCTCTTACGATACTCAGTTTGACCGCCAATGGATGGCTTTGAATTCTCATGTGATTTGATGTATCGCTTGATGGATTTTGATTTAAAAAGGATTTACCACTTCCTCGGGTATACCCGGAACATGTCCGGGTTTGGCCAACATGGTGCTGGTCACTGATAATGACTCTTATCGATCTTATTTTTGAATTATCATGTGAATTATGTGAATAATCAATTGATTTATCGCATGGTGGGTTTGGCACGTTTATGAAAAGCTCTGGTCTGATGAAGACCCATACTCACCGGAATACGTTCCGGCCTTTGCTCTGGAACCAGCAAAACAAATCTAGAAACATTCAATAAAGTTGTAAAATCTTTGAACGCCGTTTTCTCATTTCCAGTTTTTTACAGATGGGACTGACTTGCGATTATGGGCAGTTTAGATTCAATTAAATTATGTAAAGTAGTGACGATTTATTGAAATGCTTTATTCTGAATTCTGTTACGAGTTAGATTTAGTTAAATCAGTTCATGTAAATTCATGAGTTCGAAATTAAATAGTTTTTTGTTTGTTTATGAATTAATGTTTGTTCTAAAGGAGGAAGGATTGTAATGATCGGTCAAATAGCTAAACCCTCTGAGAGATTTTGCGGTAATAACGGAAAGAGAGAAAACGATAAGTGAGGCGATAAGTGATGTTCAGGAGAATAAATAAATGAAATAAACACTGTGCTGAGTTGGTCAGTTGGACTTGATACATACTGGAGTCAACACTTATCTTTTTAGAAAAGAAGAATCTCTCTCCAAACGGAAACACATCAGTTATTAAGCAACATTTCAGCTTTAATTTCGAAAATTTTCAGCGTTAAATATTAATGTTTCCGCTGTTGGTTTTTTTACCTTGCGAGACTGAGATCTCGGGACTATTCGATTCTTCTGTACGCGACTTAAAAACGGATTATCTAAAACCTTTGATAGGATTTTTCGGATATTCCAACTTTTCGATTTTTTAGGCGCATTTTAGCAGCAAAAAATCGATTTTTTTCGAACGCCGCCATTCAAGTAATCTTGCGAATTAAAAAAAAATCCATGTTAGATTTGAGATATTTGAATAAAGAACTCAAAACACTAATTATTTCTTTTCTCCGATGTTTTAGTGCTGACAACGCTGCAGCCATTGACAGTTTCGGCCAGTAAAATTTGTTTACAGTTTTCGATAAATTTCTGTAAATCACAGATATCCAGCAGTTATGATTGCGGGATATTAGTAAAACAATATATTTTATAGAACGAATTCAACAAAAAAGTACCTATTTAAGAAATTTGATGCTCATCATTGGGACAGGTCTAATTTTTGGATAAAATGTATCAAATTTTCAGTGAACAATGATAAATTCCCCGCTTTCTTTATATCGTAGAACCTCGTTAGTTTGAAAAGCTAAAATCGCAACTAAACGGCGTTCAACTTTGTTCAACTGGTTCGCCTACACTGGTGCGTAACGCTATTGGACACCTCTGTAGGGGTACCAGTTAGAAAAAAATTCAAAACGACCGCCGATTAATTGCGATTTTAGCTTTTCAAACTAACGGGGTTCTACGGTAGTAGGTACCAACAAGAACCTCCAAAATTGCAACTCTCACACTTCAAGCTCGTTTTCAAACATCATACACTCTGTATCCCCGTATGGGACGACAAAGCTACGATATTACTACGTATTACTCTCAATAGAACGAAAGCCTTTACTAATACACTTTCGCCCACTTGTGGTCGATCCCATCCCCATCCTCCGTACACCACACAAATAGCTTATATGTAGCTCACTTGACGCTCGTAATACTAGGAACATTCAAAGTGCACTGCCCTCTCCCCAAAGCGTAGCTGCTGATAGTGGTCGTTACTGGTTGTTGTTCTCAGTAATTTGGCTCCTAATTGATGAACTAGATGAAACAGTGCTGGGGGGATAGATTGCCTTTCCCCATCGGCATCGTCCAGTAAACCGATAATACACCACTTTTTGACACGTAGTTTCGTCTGCAGCTCCGTTCTGAAGAAGCACCGAAAAATTGCAATCAGAACACACTGACAGCCGGCCGTCCTATTCCCAGTTCCCAGCGGTATCAGTTTACGATGCCATTCCTACCCACTATCCAGTTACTATAGGTATTAGTTAAGTAGATGCTTTTATTGCAGAAGGCGGGGAAGGAGCGGTAATGCAACACTTGTGAAGTGGAAGGGGATTCGGTACCTACTACTGTTTCGGTTGTCGGTTGTCGGTTTTGGTTCTTATCTGCTCTGTCGAGCTGCACACCCTCATACCAAAAATATACCACCAACGATTTTATTACCATCAGCGTAGTGTTTATATGCAGCCAAAGCGAGTTGTTGTTTGTTCTGCTCGTATTCAGATCATAACTTTAAATATTAGCACGTTTTAAAGCATTCTAAATTAAGCGTGATTTCCCTAACGTATTTTAATTTTCTCTCCGTTTTTACTTGCAGAATGTCGCGTGTGCAAGTATTGTACGATTTCTCGGCGGAGCCCAACTCGGCAGAGATCACCATCACGGCGGGCGAAATCCTGTCGGTCACAAGTACCGACGTCGGCGAAGGATGGTGGGAAGGCACCAATTCCCGCGGTCAACGCGGTTTGTTCCCTGCTGCGTATGTGGAAGTCCTGCCGAACAATCCGGGACCACCGCAGATGCCACCGCCACCGTTGATTCCGGCGGTCAAGCAACAACCACAGCAGCAGCAGCAACCACCGCAGCCGCAGCAGCAAGCACAACAAGGGGGACATCGGTACGATCCGACATCGGATGATTGGGGGGAACAGCAGGACGATTGGGATGATGATTGGGACGACGATAATGATACGTATTCGGAAATTGGTCCAGCGAGTGGTGGAGGAAAACCGGAAGCAGCAGCGGGAAGCGCCCATAATCAGAATGGGAATTTCCAAAACAGTAGTTACTATGCAAATGCCAACTTGCCGGCACCACCTGCCGGGGTGCACAACAATGATGGGGATACAGTTTCAATTATGACGGTTGGCGGAACCAGAAGAACGACATCGTCTGGCAAAATTTTCTCCAAAACGGGCGACGCCTATCTGCTGGGATTGAGCGTACCTGCCGTGTCCGAGAGCGACCGGGTGCAGATTCTGCAAACGGAACATGGAATCATTTGGAAACCGATGCGCGATAGCTACACGGTTACAGTAGATTCACCAAAGAAAGAGAAGAAATTCAATGGCCTTAAAAGCTTCATCGCTTATCAGCTGACGCCTTCGCTAAACAACCATCCAGTATCGCGCCGGTATAAACACTTCGATTGGCTTCACGAGCGGCTGCTGAATAAGTACTGCCTGATTCCGATTCCACCGTTGCCGGATAAGCAAATTTCCGGACGATATGACGAAGAGTTTGTTGAGCATCGTCGTGTGCAACTGCAGGAATTCGTTGATTGGATGTGCCGACATCCGGTGCTGTCTACCTGCGCGGTCTGGATGCACTTCCTTACGTGTACCGACGAGAAGAAATGGAAAACAGGCAAACGCTCGGCCGAGAAGGATCCCCTGGTGGGAACCACCTTCTGTGCGTCAATCTTCCCACCGGACAAAACGCTCCTCCCCTCGCAAGTCGAAACCCAGGTGGACGCGTGCACCCTATTCGTTCCTCAGATGAACTCCGCCGTCAAGACCCTGTTCCAAATCTGCAGCGACGAGTCGAAAAAGTTCCAGGGACAATGGAAACAGGACTATCAGCGTATTGGCGAAGGCCTATCGGAGCTGGCACGATCTCTCGAAATCGACGAACGTCGCCAGAAAACCGAGATCAGTTTGGCCAACTCGGTCGGCCATGCGGCCGGAATCTTCATCAGCATCGGTCAGATGTACGCCGACCAACCGAAACATGATTTCATTCCCTTCTCGGATCGCTTGCACATCTACCGGGGACTGTTGAACACCTATCCGGACTGTCTGAACGAGTACCGGAACGGCATGCAGAAGCGGAAAGAGTGCGAAAAGCTAACGGCCGAGCAGAAGATGGAGAACAGCCAGCTGGCGGAAGTCAACCGGAGGGTGGATGTGATGTCCTACGCGGTCCTCGCCGAGATGGCGCACTTCCGCCAGGAGCGGGACACCCACCTCAAGGACACATTGCGGAACTTTATCGGAGCGCAGATCGAGTTCTACCAGAACATTGTGCGTCGGTTGGAGCAGGCGCAGTCGCATTTCTAAGTGAGTTGCTTTTTCCTTATTGCTATTATTATGCTGCAGTTTAGGTATATCTTTATGTAAGCTCATTACTGTCAGTTATGATTGCGGAATAGGCCGATTAGGTTATAGAAGTTGCCTGAGACGAGAAAAGGGAAGCATTATTATTAATATGTACCCACCTATATTGATATGCGTTGTGTTGTAATTATTTGGACCTAGTTTATTCTGCCGAGACAATAAGAAATGTATTTGCTGGTCTGCTCATAGCCGGTAGGTTACTTGCGTTGGTTATTTCTTTCTCATTTTTCGAACACACACTCACTTTAAACTGTCATTACTCTGTACATATTGCAATTTGCATTGAGCTCCCATTTGCTGACTTGAATCAGTCCAAATTTGAATGAAAGCAGTGGAGTATCATGTATTTTCAATTAACACCCTGAAACTGAAACAATTAACTGATTTAGGCGCCTACACACAGTGGGACGAATTCAAAAAAAGTGGGACATGGCTATTTGCGACAAAACGATTGAGTATAGCTTTTTGTTGTCTTCTAGAATGTTTCTTTATTTTTTAAGTACTTTATTTAAGTAGTTAAAAATTTGGTTAAGGAGGGTATACACTCAGATAAAAAAAATAACTTTTTTATGTCTTGTTAAATTTGATGAACACCTATGGAAACATTGAAGATGAAGTCTTTTTAAGAAACTTTGTGCAAGGTGTAAACTCGTTGCCAGATTTAGAACACGGGTTCGTAACCTTACCATAATCCAATGTTATGCGCCAACCGATGCTGCCGAGCTACAGGACAAGGAGAATTTTTACAGTCAACTGAATGCCGTCGTGGATAAGGTTCCAAAGGGTGACATCAAGATCTACACTGGCGACTTCAATGCGAAGATCGGCTCCGACAACACGGACTATGAGCGTGTCATGGGACGCCATGGTCTCGGCGAAATGAGCGAGAACGGTGAGCTGTTTGCAGAATTTTGTGGCAATAACGACATGATGATCGGGGCTCGCTCTTCCCCCATCGGCCAGTGCACAAAGTCACGTGGGTTTCCCGTGATGGACCACATGTGCATCAGCCGAAAATGGAGACGGAGCCTTCTTGATGTCCGGAATAAACGCAGCGCCGACATCGCGTCTGACCATTACCTTCTAATCGGCGAGATCCGCCTACGCATGGCGCGGATCCAGCGACGGGAGGAGAGACTCGGGCGGCGGTTCAACACACGCCGACTTGAAGATCCAGCGGTAAAAAGGTCTTTTGTTGAAGAACTTGAGACTCGAGCTGCGGACGTTCCAGAAGATGGCAGCGTAGAAGAACAATGGACGGCCATCAAGAATGCCTTTATAGAAACAAGCGAGAACAACTTGGGTGAGCTGCGCACTCAGAGGAAAGAGTGGATCACAGATGAAACCTGGCGGAAGATTGAGGAGCGTAGAGAAGCAAAAGCCGCGATAAAGCGGGCAAGAACCAGAGGAGCCAAGAACGAAGCCCGTCAACGGTACTCGGCTCTAGAGAAGGAAGTCAAGCGCTCTTGCAGACGGGACAAGCGAGCGTGGGTGAACTCCCTGGCCGACGAAGGGGAGAAAGCCGCAAACACTGGCGATATACGCCTCCTCTACGATATCTCACGACGCCTGAGTGGAGCAAGGATGAACCCGAGGATGCCAGTGAAGGACACGACTGAACAATTGCTTACCGACCGAACTGACCAGCTGAAACGCTGGTTTGAGCACTTCGAACAACTTCTTCAAGTTTCGACGGCCAACCAGCCATCAACATCTCGGCATGATCCGCCTAGGGTGCGGCGCATCACTCGCGTCGATTCCGAGGCCCCATCACTGCAGAAGATTGAAGCAGCTATCCGAAGCATGAAATCCAACAAGGCTCCAGGGGTCGATTGCATATCAGCAGAGATGCTCAAAGCTGACCCCATGCTCCGTTGCATCAACTATTCTGTAATATCTGGGACACCGCGACTTTTCCGGCCGACTGGATGCGACAATTGGCGAGGCATCATGTTACTGTGTATTGTTCTCAAAGTTCTGTGCAAAGTTATCCTGAATCGGATACAGGAGAAGATCGACGCGACTCTCCGACGGCAGCAGGCAGGATTCCGTGCCGGAAGATCTTGTGTGGACCATATTGTTACGCTCCGCTTCATCCTGGAGCAGGTCAATGAATTCCAAGAGTCCCTTTATTTGGTATTCATTGACTACGAAAAAGCTTTCGACCGTCTCAATCACGAGAATCTGTGAGGCGCCCTGAGACGCCCTCATCGAAGCGCAGTATGACGCTTTCACGTGCAGAGTTCTGCATAACGGAGCCTTGTCTGACCATATCCGGGTAGTCGCTGGTGTGAGACAAGGATGTATACTATCACCGCTACTGTTTCTCATCGTAATCGACGAGATCATGGTAGGTGCAATTGACCGTGTACCGAACCGTGGGCTGCTTTGGCAGCCTATCACCATGGAGCATCTCAACGACTTCGATTTGGCTGATGATGTTGCTCTACTAGCACAACGGCGCTCTGATATGCAGAGTAAGCTCAATGACCTAGCCGAACACTCCTCTGCGGAGGGTCTCACCATCAACGTCAGCAAGACTAACAAGACCAAATCGTTGGATGTCAACACGGGCAACCATTCCAACTTTACGGTAGCGGGGCAAGCAGTGGAGAAGGTCGAAAGTTTCCAATATCGGGACCAAGAGCGACATAGGTGCACGAATCAAGAAGACTAGGGCTGCCTTTGCGTGTTTACGAAACGTATGGAGATCCAACCAGATAAGTCAACGCACCAAAATCCGAATTTTCAACTCGAACGTGAAATCTGTGTTGTTATACGCCAGCGAGACGTGGTGTGTATCAGCGGAGAACACTCAAAAGCTGCAGGTCTTCATCAACCGATGCCTGCGGTATATAACTCGTGCCTGGTGGCCTCACAACTGGATCTCGAATGCCGAGCTCCATCGTCGATGTCATCATAAGCCGATAGCAACAGAAATTCGAGAGCGAAAGTGGAGGTGGGCGGAAACGAAATCTGCAAGCAAGCGCTGGATTGGAATTCGGCAGGACATCGCAGCAGAGGCAGACCCAGGGGCTCATGGCGGCGGACCTTCAATAAGGAAATTAAGCAAGTCGATAGGAATCTGACCTGGGCCCAGGTCAAGGCAAAAGCGAGCAGCCGCCCAGGATGGAAGTCTTTCACGTTGGCCCTTTGCACCGCTGGTGGTGCACAGGACCCTTAAGTAAGTTAGTTGAAGCTGTAATTGTGCACGATGATGCTTCCTAGAAAAAAATAACCAACTCAGTTTTCTCCGGAGAGAATTCGATACCCAGCTTCATAGCCCAAGTAGACAAATTGTCTAAGGTATCTTGCAATGGTCCTTGCAGGTTCGGTGCACTTGGCCCTATAACGGACACAACTCCGTCATCTGCAAGCTGCCTTAGCGAGCAATTTTCATCAAGACAACCATCAATGTCTTTTACATAAAAATTATAAAGAAGGGGGCTTAAACATGAACCCTGGGGGAGACCCTTGTAACTAATTCGTGAAGTTGTCGAGTTTCCATGAGAAAAGCTCATATATTTCTCAGACAACAAGTTGCTCAAATAGTTGTTCATAATTGGTGAAAGCCCACTATCGTGGAGTTTATCCGAAAGGACATCGATACAAACAGAATCAAAAGCCCCCTTAATGTCCAAGAAAACTGAACCCATTTGCTGTTTTTGCGCATAGGCCAGTTAAATTCCAGTTGAAAATTTCACATACTGCGGTACCATAAAACCAATGAAAAAGTGCACGGGTTTTGAAGTAAAGTTTTAAAGGTTTTCTAAAAGGTGGCTGACATCATCAAGAAAACACTGCTCTGATAAACAAATACCATAAACGAACGGTAACCCGGATGGTAAAATTATCCCACAAATGGTTTGGATGATAACACGAACATGTCGTTAAGCTCTTTGTATGGTTATTTTCTATTAGGGCTTAGATCGGAAACATGTTATGTTATATTCGTCACACTTACTTTAACAAGAAATAATCATCATCGGAATAAATTAACCTGTATTACTCTAACTTACCAGATATCGATTTCGTAACCTACCAGAAGCAGATCACGGTTTGTGATCGTCTATTCTTTTATTTTATTTTATTTTTTATCAGATGTCATCTGCAGACAAACAAAACATGAGTGTAGATCAACATGCTTAAGGTAAACAAAACATCACACAACACATACAAATATACAAACTACATCACTGTTTATACCCTTCGTTGATGGGCAAATAGTAATTGAAAGCTTCTTACTTCGCTTTTTCCTGAAGCTTTCAGTAGATTGTGGATGGTTCGTTTATATTAACTGCGTGGCGATGCTCTGAACAAGCACGCTTCCTGGGTCTGTCAGTTAATAACCGCATAAATCACTCCGCAATACGTCTGTGGCCGCAGGTTTAAAAGTTAGGTAAGATTTGTTCTCTCCAGATAAGACTGATGCAAATTTTATTTTGATTTCAACATCACTCAAATAGGTCAAGCAAAGGGCAAAACATAAATAACAAGGGACGAAAAAACAAATTTTTTTCATTTTTTTAATAGGTCATGGGAGGGGGGGGGGGGGGTGACACAAAATTAAAATAAAATTAGCATCAGCCCAATTCCCGAAAAAATAATCGAACGCTCACAGCTAACAGTAATCATCACATGTAATGTAAAAGCTGGTTATTCAAACAATTCCTACGACTAGATGTAAACGGAAAAGCACTATATTTTTATACTAAAAGTTTTAGCAAACCAAACAAAACAATAATCATTCTAGTAGAAGCAGGCACGCTAGTAAAGTGTAAAAATTTGGTCCTTTGCAAGCAAACATTTCGACTGATTGATAAAAGGATTCTAAGCAAACATGTAGGCTGATAGCTTTTTTTTCTGTCGCAGCACATTTTGTAACAAACGCTTGAAACGCTTAATGTTAAGTGTAAAGCTCTAGTAACTATAACTAAGCAGATTAAGGCAACCAATAGTTATAACCAAATGATGAATAATGGAAACGATAATGCTTAACAATCGAGGTGAAAATCAAAGCTGGTTATATATTTTGTATGAGGGAAAGTATTAAATATTGATATTTGCGCATCGATGGGGCAGATACGTCAATGAGGATAGCTAATAAGTGAAGTAATAAATCCAACTCTGTCACTCAAAGCCAACCGTAAGCAGATGATTTCATGCCGAAACGATCTTTGTTCAACACGATTTCTTTATTACCACCCGTTTTGATCATTTTTTCTTCTCCTATCGATGTAATTAACACCCATCGGATTGGGACTCTGTTGGCCCTTCTCCCTCAAGGGTCACCTAATTGGTAAACTTTTACAAATTAGAATACTGGAAAGCAGCTGCTCGAGTAAGGAAGGAATCCCACGTTGTCGTAATTTTAAAATCGCCAATTAAACTTCATTGGGTAGCTCGTTATAAGGGTACGCCTTGGTGGTTCGTGCGTAAAGGTCCCCGGTGATGCCACTGCAAATCGAAATAAATGTTAGCTCTCTGATTGACTTTCCAGGAAATCGCTGCCCCTCCCTACCTGGTCGTATCGCAAAAGAAGCCCATCCGGAAGCTGACCGGCCAAGTGGCAACGGCCCGAATCGACGAGCACTCGTTTGGTTTTGGGATGGCACGGAATTCATTCTGGAACGCACTGTTGTAGAAATAGGGACACAGGCCGTGCGATCCCTTCGGATATGGCCCAGCTGCCACTTGATTGGCACCGCAATTACCCATGTTCCAATCTTGGTGGCATTCGCGTCGAAACGTTCCCTTGTCGATGCTCGTGTGGATACACTGGATATTTTTCGCTGCTGCCTTCATTTCCAGCGAGGAGAAAACGCGATCCGAATCGAAACCCGGCCCGGCCGGTTCACATACTGAAATTCAAATCAATCAAATTATTCATGACATGCACCGCACTGAAATTGATCCACAGAACACACCGTCTAACCGATCGATCTTCCGGAATCCAAACCGCCTGCCAGCTTCTATTGACGCCTGAGCGCCGAAACTGAACCCGAACAGGTGCGCGTTCGCTGGATCGAAACCTCTATTCTCCACTTCCTTCAGCTTCCCGAGTAAAGCGTCCACCACCAGTTCAAATTTGGGTACAAGCGCTCCGAAGTAGTCTTCCGTCATAGAGTACTTACTGTAGTCCATACAGATGATACATCCTCCTCGAAGAACCGTAAAATTTGACAGCATATCAACAACCCATTCCGTTTGGCAGCTCTCCTTCCATCCGTGCACGATCATCGTGAACTTGTCCTTCGTCGCGCAGTCATACTCATCGAAGAATATATCATCATTCCACCTGGAATAATTCAAACAATGCAACCTCACCGCTAGTCACCAAAATCAATCATCCATGGATTTGAGTTGAACAACCTGATCACTTCAGAAGAACCATTTCCTACTGCTATCACCGCTAAAATCACCACCACCGCCACCAGGTTTTGTCTCATGATGATGATCGCACTGCCGAAACTGATCAACCAGTCACGAATGTACCGGTTCTTTATATAACCTACATAGGTACTCCAAAAAAAAATTCACCGCTGCCGGAAACCTGATCCCGATTCAGCCGGTGGACGCACAAGTGTCCCATGTTCTATAGAACTGCTAAGCTGCCTATAATCTACTTTCACATAACGTGATACAACTACGGACTTTGATCGTGAGCTACAGTTCTGCTTTTTGCTAATACAACAAAACATGCAAGCTTCATTGTAACTGAATTCAGCTTGAAAGTATTACCAATTAATTTACTATGATTTTTCAAACATTTAAATGGGAATTGCACTTTGTAACGTCGATTGCCATTTTCTCAATGCCTACTTTTTCCAGTTTGGGACCGATATGGGATCAAAGCCGGCATATAACAATGGGACAGTTATGCTTTCAACGGCAGTTTAGATGTGACCCATTTCTGCGCTTATCTTCGTTCTCGATCTGAGCTTCGAAATTTATGCACACGAATAAGCATTTTATGATACTGACTATGTTGCGAGATCAGACTGTCGTCACTAAGAGTTGATAAATAAATTAAGTCAGAAATAGGTAACACATTACTGGAAAAGTCGTATGAACAACTGGAGGTAAAACCCCGCCTACGTAGTTTTTCGGTGATTAAGAACATAGGGTTAACTACCCCATTCCCGGTCTATTAAGCACAACCCGGACTTAGTCTTTCTTAATCTGGCGTGATTTAGCACCAAACGGAATGTTATTCAGATGGCTTCCAAATTTATTTACCTTTCCAAATGTACCGTTAGTTCTGTTAAGGGGTCGCGAAATATTCGTTTATTGTTGAAAATGCAAAACTGCTTCTGGCGGCTCAACTTGGCCTACGGATTTCCATGGGTCTATTAGCCATTGAAACGCCATTGGGATTCTCTTTGGCCTATCGAACGGAAATAAAAGTGAATTTGCGTGCGCCTTTTGTACACTGCAAGTGCGTCTTTTGTTTCGAGATCTTATTTTGCGTTCTTCAACACTTCGTCTTGTAGCTATTGAATAGAAGCATCGTACCAAACGTTTGTTTGACACGTTCTTGCCGAAATCATAGATATATTTGATGTTTTGTGCTCGATAGGCCGGGAATGGGCGATTAGGCCGAAGTAGATTTTTCCCCTATTGTGATAAACATGTACTGTGTCGAGAGTTGCAACTGCTTCTGGCAAGTGGCTTGACTGTTGATGCTTTATCAGTGTTATCTTTTGTTATGCGCGTTCGAGCTTCGAATTGAACAATTCTGATGATTTTAGAAAAGCTTCATGATCATGAGAAATGTTTCAATTAGACTAGTTATTCAATATCCATTAACTCAGTGCCAACATTTCAAAGGGGCGTAATTGCTTTTGTAAACAATGACTTTAGCCGTCAATTTCTCGCGAATGAAATCTTACCTCTCCAAAATTACAATGCTAGCTGGTAGAGGAAACATTCCTCTACCTGCTGGTGTCATTATTTTTCATGAGTGAGCTTTTATTCGCGAGAAATCGACGGCTAAAGCCATTGTTTACAAATGCAATTACGCCCCTTTGAAATGTTGGCACTGAACTATTAGCTCGTTGGTTGTCATGTATCGACAATTTATTGAAAACTTGTGCCAGAAGATTTGAATTTAACCAATTGGGTTCTTTAATTTTGAAAAATGGGTTCTTTAAGGGTATTGAGGTAAATGTATATTCGCAATCTGCATTAAAAATGGAACCCAAACCCAAAATTTCATCAATTTTAGTACACTGGAACTATTTCAAATAAGTACGAATACATTTGCAAAAATCACCTTATTAGCGCCCCTCGCCGTCACTTTGTATAGGAGCGAGCTGTCAGTTTGTTAGTTTAGTGTCAAACAGTGAAGTTATTATTTTGCTTTAAATCTTGATTTATAAATCGAGATGAAAGTGTGTGGGTTCGAAAAAAAATATCGCTGTGCTCAGAAAACGAAGCTCTTTCAGAAGATATATAAAAACCGATATATTTTTCAAAATTAAAGTACTCAATTACCAGGAATGTTAAGTCGAATTGCAAAAGTGAACTCTGTCTCTTGAGATATAGTGCAGTGATTGAAAGGCTACCGGAATATCTCGATATCACTTGATATGACTCGTCACACTAGTGAAACCAAGAAAATATCAATAACAGCAAACAGGAAAGATCGCGAGTGGCAGATACGATCTAAAAATTCCCGTCTTTAATTTCCTGTTCATAATCACAGTTATTGCAGACCCCCTTCACTCGTTGGATTTTTTAGAGACAGATAACAGCGCCAAACGGTTTGTGACGAGACAACGTTGAACTGCAGCGTTGGAAGAAAACACGCACACCAACATCTATACATGTACGAACCCACACAACTGAGCAGACGGTACAGCGCAAATCTAAACACGAAGCGGTGTCATCACTCATCGTCATCATTCAGCTTCGGCTACTTCCGTTTGCGTTTGCTTCTACTTGCTACTTGCTACTTCCTACGTTATAAAATAGGAAAGTAATGATAATTCCAATGTAATTTTTGAATAGAATGCATGCTGCGTTGGCCAAAGAAGACGGCATATTTTATTACGTTTAGCAATGATTTCGATACGTTGCATTTCCAGTGACTGGGGTGTTGAAATAATTCTTTAGAGAGAGTGAATGCTTTTCCCATGTTTACTTCTATGCTTATTGAGATTCTTTAGAGCACCAGCTCCGCAAATCATCAATTACTATTAAAGATTTGCATCTTACTGATACCGGTGGTATATTGGAAACTCTTTCGCTCGAAAGCAAAACATATTACAAGCACATCATGATGCGCGCTTGGATGTATGATTGTTTTCTCAGGTGTTTCTGTTGCGTATTAAGTGGTAATGATTGAAAATCGGAACAATCACAAACAAGTAAGAATCTTGCTATCGCAATATAATGATGATGACTTCGAGGATGATATCGTCCTCTTTCCTCGGCTGATCATCAACCAGCGCTGCCATTTATACAGATTTATCTGTATTATACAGATTTTTTAATCTTAATACAGACCCGATACAGAATACAGATTTATCACAGATTTTTAAATTACAATACAGATTTATACAGATTTTTATAAAATGCTTGAGAAAAAAAAAATCTTTATCAAAATAAGTTATCAAGCAATTCTCACTAATATCAATATATGTTATAATTTTGATATTCTTCGCATATCTTTTAGCTCTCATTTTTGTTCTGTTAGCCATCAACTCCATCAAAATAAAATCAATTTGAGTTATCAGGAATAATGAAAACAACATAATTCTTGTTTACATTTTGTTCTCACCCTCTGCTCAGGAACCTATCAAATTTCCATCGACAATTAATCATGTTATGGTGTTTTTGACAGCATTCACAACCAGAGGACCAACCGCTTTCGGATGCATATGGAGCTGGTAGTAAACGATTTGAGATTGTATGGGGATTTACAGTATTAATTGAATATTTCCAATATAAGCATGTATGTTAAGGTTCAATTTACTTTGATGCTTTTTCGAAAAATTCAAGAGCAGTTTTTTTCTACGCATTAGTTCAGATTGCAAAATGCTCGCACTATTCGATTCCTTTTGCTATTCTACACAAAATGACGCGAGCTTTTAGCAATCTGAAATAATGCGTCGAAAAAAACTGCTTTTGAATTTTTCGAAAATGCATCAAAGTAAATTGAACCTTAAATACAAGAAAAGTGCCCGAGCACATTAAAATGGTACAAATACAAGTACTCGTAAACATTTTACTTGCATTGAAAATGTATTTCGTAAGACATTGCGGATTTTCTGATATTCTCCATACTGCAAAAATGATTTTACCAGCACTGGCGGGGCGACATCTCTCTACTTTTCGGTGTAACTACCACACAAATGAAGTAATTAATTGTATTCATCTATATTAAAAATATCAAATAGTAATGAACTCGTGCACTTTTTTGCATTTAAAACTGCTTATCAGGAAGATAATGAATAGAAACTAAAATCTCCATACATTTTCAAACGGCTTCATATCACTCTTATAAATAAGTACGGACGATATCACAAATGGCGCAATTATATCCCGTATGGTTAGTACGATAGCCCGAATAGGTGGTTAAGCACTTTTTATGGTTATTTTGTATGCACTGTATTTGTAAAACAACAAAACATGATTAATTAAGAAAAAAAATCTTCAATACAGAAAATACAGATTTTTTAATAGAGTGGATACAGATTTTTTATAAAACCACCTGGCAGCTCTGTCATCAACGTCCGCATTGACATCTATCATGCTGACACCTGTCAGTTATTGAGCCCAGGTGGTGAAGTTGGTGGGGAACTCCCAACAGTTTCAATGTGCACTCAACAGATAGCACTGTGATCACATACGGGTAGTAATTATATGCCTTGTACGAGGAATCGATTAGTGGGATATCTTGTTAATTAGATATATTTGGCTTTAGGTAAGTCACTCTGCCACATAGACCTGTGCGTGGTGAACTTTAGTTCAAGAGCAAATTTTCATTATGTCGTAAGTAACATTCGCACCAATCCGAGAAAAATAAAGTTTTGTTTTGATGACCGAAAAGTTATTCCTATTTCCAAGTAAACACATATAATGTCATAGTGATAGCAATGTTTAACATATTTAGCAGGGTTTTAATCATACAACATTCCTCGTCGAACGTTCGACAGAGCAAGTTTGCTTACGCTACTCTCACGCCGCCGCAAAAGTGTTTTTCGGAAAAAAGTGGATTTTTTTTCTCTCCCCGATCGGAGTTTTTTTTTATACACCTTCTGGTGTGCAGTGCCACAGGCGGACATAAACGTT